GGTGGTGACAGTCTTTCTCTCCAAGAGTTCTTAGTTCTTGCTGTCTGCTTGTCTGTGGTGATGGTGACTTTGTGGAAGCCCCTGGGAGTGTCTGCAGTGACAGCCTGGGTCAGAGACCTGTCAAGCCCTCTGGGAAGATGCCCAGAGCCCCCACAGAAGACCCTGGAGCCCACTCTGTTCCCGAGGAGCAGCTGGAAGCATGAGTGTGGGTCACCCAGCACCAGCTTGACCGGGGCTCTCAGCCTCTGAAGACTGTCTGTCACCTCCTGGGCTGGAGCTCAGCTGGCCAGAAAGCATGGTGGAGAGCTGGAAGTCAGGGACAGAGTCCCCTCACCACAGCCCCCTCCCAGAGCCCGTCCTGCCAAGATAGAGGCAGAGTTCCAGCACAGAGCCCTCACCTCAGATAAGATCGGGGCAGGGTGGATTCGCCCTGCCTGAGGGGAAAGGACCCAGGGCTGTCTAAGCAGAGAGGGGTGTGTGTGTGGGGGGGTGTATAGGTGAAGCAAGGCCCCAGGCCTCTGTGGCCTTTGGCCAGTCATGGCTCTGCTGAGGGGTGTCCCAGGACCCTGCCCACCAGCCCCTCTGCCATCTGTCTATGGAAGAGGTATACCCTGTCTCTCACTGTGCAAGGTTGTCCCGTGATCCATCCCCACCAATGGCTTCCTCTCCACAGGGGTGTCTGAGACTGTTTTTCTGGTCCATGTACTGAGACAGAGCCACGGGGCATCTGTGGGCAGGGTGGCTTTACATGGCTGACACATCAGGGTCCCATCTCAAGGGTTGCTTTAAAGCAAAATGACCCCAGGGGTGCCAGGTGCCTTGCTGAACCCAGGGATGTAAGCGCCCTCTGCAGTGGGTCACCTCGGACCTCTGACATCCCATCTTAGTCAGTGGCATCCATCAAGGCCGACGGGCACTGCCCTTGGCCTCCATGGCACCTCCCTGTCCTCCCCCTTGGATTGCTGGGTGTGAGAATGGGACTTCACTTGGGAGACCACTGGCCGTAGCCTTGAGGTTCAGCTGAGGGACAGTGGCAAGAAGTCCCCAGTATTATGGGGCACGTGGGGCCACTGATTGCAGCAAGGGCTCACTGATGGTTTTGAAGCCACAGAGTCCAGTCCCCACAGGGCAGGTCAGCCGCACCCAGGAGCCTGTTCTGCCTTAAAGCCGAGGGTGGTCTCCACGGGACAGGGTCCCTAACACCCTGTCAAGTCCTGGATCTCTGGCCCCACAGATAAAACAGATGGAGACAGAGGAAGCGCGGCTGAAACACGATGTCCAGGATGCTAAAGACCAGAACGAACTGCTGGAGTTCCGGATCCTGGAACTCGAGGTGTGGGGTGTGGGCCGGCACAGGAGGCAGGGCAGGGGTGGAGGGCAGGGTGGTGGTGGGGGTCAGGAGAGGTGCAGGTGAAGGGCTGGGTGCAGATCTGTGGTCTTGGGGGAGTGTGTGGTTAGGGTGCAGAGGGGGAAGAGAGGGGAAAGGAATGAGGAGAGAGGTGTTAGGAGGAGGGAGGGGAGAGGGGAGGGGAGATTGAAGGGTAGGAGTGAGGAGATTGTGAGCAGGGTGTAGGATGGGGGCTCAATGCGGGCAGGGGCAAGAGAGGTGCAAGTGTGGGGCTTGGGGAGGCAGAGGGCAGGGGATGAAGGGGGCAGGAAAGGTGCAGGTGGGGGCACGACGATGTGGGAGGGGTGCTGCTGTCGGGGGCACTGGAGCCCTCTCCCCAACACCCTCTCTCCCCTCCCTGAGAGGGCTCTGGGAGCTCCAGAGTAAATGGGGGGGGGCAGGTTCAGGTGTCCCTCCCCCAGGCAGCTTCTCAGCTGAGCGTCTAAGCCATGGAAACAATGTGGGTCGCTGAGACTACCAGGGCCTCGCTGCCAGGGCCAGCGGCCTCTCCGGGAGCCATGTGCGGCCAGCACCACTGCATGGGGCGGGCCTCATGGGAACGTGGCTGACCATCCATTCTGCTCCCCACCACCTTGGCCCAGTCCCCCTGGCAGCCTTGGCCCACCCTGCCCAGCCTCTGTCCTCTGTCCCAGGAGAGAGAGAGGAAGTCACCCGCCATCAATTTCCACCACGTGTCCTTTGTGGACGATGGGAGGAGCCCCCTGCAGGCGTACTGCGAGGCCGAGGGTGTGACGGTGAGGCCCCCTCTGCAGCCCTCCCGGGGCCACGGCCACTGGACCATCATGGTCCCCAGATGCCCCCCTTATCCTCTCCTCTCCTTCCCCATCACCGACCATCCCAGCTGCACTCGGGCCCTTTACCTCCTCTCTCCACACTCACCCCAATGTCACACCCGCATCCCAGCCACACTTACCAGCTGTCTCTGCCACAGGACATCCTGGTCTCAGAGCTGATGAAGAAGCTGGACATCCTGGGCGATAACGCCGTAAGTGTATGTCGCTCTCCTGATTTGTGCATGCCCTGCCCACAGTGCCCAGCCTGGCCCCCACTGCCCGCAGTATCTGGCTCAGCCCCCCACTGCCCGCAGTGCCAAGCCACTTGCTGCCCACAGTGCCTGGCCCGGCCCCCACTGTCCACACTATCTGGCTCAGCCCCCCACTGCCTGCAGTGCCCAGCCTGGCCCCCACTGCTCGCAGTACCCTGCTCAGCCCCTCACAGCCCACAGTGCCCAGCCACTTGCTGCCCACAGTGCCCGGCCTGGCCCACTACTGTCCAAAGCTTAGCACCCCCTGCTGCCCGTAGCACCCCATCTGGACCTCCACTGCCCACAGTGTACAGCACCCACACACACACAGTGCCTGGCCTCATTCCCCCACCCACAGCTCCCAGGTCACCCCAGCCCCCCGCCCGCAGCATCCAGGCTGTCCCTGTCCCCGGCTGCCCACAGTGCCAGACTGGCCCCTTTGCATGCAGGCGCCCCTCCCTCCCTTCTGCAGCTGCCACACGTAGCTGTGAGCCCAGTGCCCATGGGAACGCCTCTGCTGTCCATGGTCCTCAGGCTTGGGGTCCAGGCTTTAGGGCCCTCAGTACTCTAGAGGGCTGCCTCCTGACCCCCACTTCCTACCTACCACCAGACTTTGAGTTCTGCTTGTGGGGTAGCAGCTCAGAAATCCTCAGACCCTGTTGGGTTGGGGTCTCAGCTCTGTTGCTGACAGTGAGGAGATGCATAAACCCCTCAACCCTGACCCCTCTTGTCACCTGCACCCTCCAAGCCAACTCCCAGGTCCTATGCTGACAGGGCCCCAGCCTGCCCTCACCTGGGGAAAAGTTAAAGATGGGCTGCTGGGAGGTTTCCCCGCCTATCACGACTCTAAGCCAACTCCCAGGCCCTATGGCGACGACGGAGCCCCAGCCTGCCCTCACTTGGGGAGCAGCAAGTTAAAGATGGGGTGCTGGGAGGTTTCCTTGCCCATCACCCCTCGCTCGAGCACACGGCTTCTTCAGAGCTCTGAGGATGGAGACCCAGCCTGCAGAGGCAGCTCCAGTCAGCGTGTCAGGAGACCTTTCCAGCTGGGCACGTTCAGCCGCGGTGCCTGTGGGCCCCAGAATTGGTTTAGCGGCTGCACGAGGACAGATGCAGGCAGTTTCCAGATCCCCATTCAGGGCCCTCGGAGCCCCAAGCACCAAGCAGGCATGGCCAGAGGACACGGCCACCACAGCACGACACAGGCTCTGGACTCCAGCTGTCCCAGCCCGAGGGGTGGGGAGTGAGTTGGTCACACTGCTGTGTATACGCTCAGGACCCTCAGAGCAGACTCTGTGATGGGCAGGTCCATCCTCAAGGTCTGACCTGTGGTCACTACTGAGCACAAATCCAGCATCAGTAGCTACAGCAGTGCCTGTGGGGGCCCAAGCCCACAACGTCAGCCTGGGGGCAAAGAGCAGCCTCTACCAATGACAGGATAGCCTGACACTCTCTGTAATGGGATGTGACCACGCAGCTCAGACTCATCCCAGTGAGGGCTGCTCACTGCCCACAAAGTCCCAGCCTCCACCCCATGGTCAGGGCCCTGGGAGCCTTGAGAAGGGACCAGTGAGGGCATGTGCCTGCTACCCACTGCTGCCCTCAGATGCAGAGGAGGTCAGCATGGGAAGAAGAGATGTCGCTACATGGTGGTCAGCCCCGTTTCCATGGCCAGGGAGTCCACTGTCCTACCTGCCACATCATTCATCCAAAGCCTGGCTGAACAGTGGGTGCTGGGCCCAGGGGACACACGAGTGGTGGTGCTGACCTCCTAGTCAGGAGCCCTGGGCAAAGAGGGGGTTCTAGTGAAGGCCACTGCAGAGGTGGTGGTGGGAGGGCATTTCCGGTTGTGAGCCCTCCCCCCCATGCATTCGGCCACCCTGCTCACGTGGACAGTAGTCTCAAACAAGACATAGTTGAATGACCCAGGGCCACCTGCTCCATAAGTTACCGTGGCTTTTCTGGGCCTGTGCAGAGACTAGCCTCGACTCTCTGGTCCCCGGCAATCAGAGGACGAGTACACAGGCAGGGCACCCAATAACCAGTGCAGAGGACGGGTCAGAGCCAGGGTCCCCAGAGGGGCACCCCCACTGCCAGCTGCCCGCTCCCCAACCTCTGAGCCCTGACTTTGCTCTGCTCTTGGACAGAACCTGACCAACGAGGAACAGGTGGTCGTTATCCAAGCCAGGACTGTCCTCACCTTGGCAGAAAAGGTAACAGTGGCCACACGGATGTGCCATGACAGGCGTCCATGGGTGACCACGTGGATGTGCCATGACAAGCATCCATGGCACGGTACTCCCTCTGTCCTCCTTGTCCCAGACCACTGACCACTGACCAGATGAGACATGCCATCAGGGCTGCATCCACCTCTGTAAAGACAGGTGTCCCCTCGGGCCAGCTCGACTTCACCCTCTGGCTGGAGGCGGAGTTGGGCTGTTAGGTTAGCATGACAGGGCCGGGGACATGCCTCGGGCAGGCAGCCTGTCCCACCCTGAGCACCCAGCAGAGTTTTCAGAGTCACTCTGCCCCCACCCCACTTGTACCTTCCCCCAGGGAGGGAGGGTACTTCCTGGACACTGAGAGGGCAGCCTGGATGCAGGGTAGTCCCCACAGCGGAAGCAGGACATCCTCGGCCCTTGCAGACAACAGGGGTCCTTGCCATGTGCCCCTTCTGTCCGTACCCAGTGGCTCCAGCAGATTGAAGAGACGGAGTCAGCCCTGCAGCACAAGATGGCCGACCTGGAGAGTGAAAAGGTGAGTATCTGAGTTCTGGGTCACCGCTCAGTGTCCACCGTCCTCTCTCAGTGCCCTCCGTCCTCTGTGATCACATGTCACCATTCGTGCCCACCGTCCTCTGTGATCACATGTCACCATTCGTGCCCACCGTCCTCTGTGATCGCATGTCAGCACTCAGTGCCCACCGTCCTCT